ACTACCAAGCTCAAGAGGACCACCAGCCTCAGCCTCTCCAGTAAATGTGATTACAGGTATACAACAACATGCCCGGGTACATCCAAATTTGATCAATATCTATGACTACATCTACATCATTGATAAAAATGTTGAGTATCCAAGTAACGAGGACAGCACCATGGAGAACTTTATGTTCTCTAGTTTAACATTGATCTATTATTAATCTCTACTCTTTAGGTCCTTTTATTTATCAGTTGATTTGATTCTAGTATCATTGAAACTATATCTCTGCAGCAACAACTTTATAAAAATGACTTACTGAAATCCAGGTATTGTTGACATTCCCCTAATCTACTTGACCAGCAATCTATCAAAAATATAAGTGATTTTTGCCTGGCATGCCCCACCCCTTTATTAATAAACCTACATGAAGGAAGAAAGGAAACAAGCATTTATTGAACACCTTACCATGTTCTAGGCACTGCACTGAAAGTTTTACAACTATTATCTGATTTGATCCTTGTAATGACCCTGGAAGGTAGGCGCTATTACTATTCTCATTTTACAGTTAAGGAAACTGAGTTAAACAGAAATGAAATTCCTTGCCCAAGGTGATATAGTTAGGGTTAGGGTCAGTAGTGTTTAATAATCACCACTTCCCTTTCTAACTAATCAGCTTAATAATGCATTTTAGAATTTTGTCAGAAAATGAAGTCAAGTTCAATGATCTATTGCTTGAACAATCTACAGCCTTCCTGTCTTTGAAAATCTTGCAACACTTCTGTTCTCTGTGACTTTTCAAAGAATAATAACAGAAGCTCTGTAATTACATCTACAAGTTATTTTGATATCTTGATATATGTCTTACTGAAACCTGAGGCCTGGGAACTTGAATTCCTTGAAAAGTGTATGTGTGTATGTGTGTGTGTGTGTGTGTGTGTGTGTGTGTGTGTGTGTGTGTGTGTATTTTAGGATTATAGGATCATGAAATCACAGATTTAGAGTTAGAAGGGATCTTGGAGGCTATCAGATCTAATCATCTCGTTTTATAGATGAAGAAATTAAAGAATATATTAAGTGACTTGCCTAAGGTCACATAGCTAATACACATCCAAGGTAGGATTTGAGCCTAAGTCTTCCTAACTTCAAGTGTAGTACCCTCTCTATTATGACATGTGTATGTGTATATAGGCCTCAGTATACCTGGAGTTTTTTGGTCAAAATGGCTTCCTGAACAGATGCAGGCTGCTCAGCTACCTTATACCTACTCCAGCAAAAACTTAAAATTTGCAATAGACCAAATCATGATCAAGAAACCCAATGAGAAACTATAGAGATACAATAAGCAGCTTTTTCCATCCCATCACTGCCCAAAAAGTCAACCTGAAGCTTCCAGCAATAGAAAAAGAGAGCACAACTGAAGGTTGTTTTGTTGTAGTTATTATTCTTAAAAAGCCCTTATACACTCAATGCTACCAGAAAAGGTCTTGCAGGTCTCTTATCAGAGGGCAATGAGACAGGAGGGCTCCCTGAGAAATCCCCAGGGTGATTATAAACACAAAATTGGTCCCTTGAAAGTTCTAAGGAGCATCGGCATCCCATGAGGGCACCATAGCATAAGAGAACACCCCTGTGCTCCCTACCACCTCGTCATGAGATGCCGTCGAAAGCCCTGAAGATTGAGTACTCCTCACCTCAAAGATCAAGAGGGCCTAATCCTATGAGGAGGGCATTGTAGGAACCCATTGTAGGAATTCTAGGGTGAGATCAACATAATCAGCCACCTACCCAAGCAAAGGAATGGAACCTGGCCTTGGCAAAAAAGCCCCAATTCAAGAACTAAAACTGAAGATGTGAATATTCCAAGGAAGACACTTATCAGTATTAAAAATTATTACAAATATGAGATCCCCCACTTTAGGGGATGCCTTTCTTTTGAAAGAGTAACAAAGTAACAACTATAAGCAGAGACTCAAAGGAAGAAATGCACTTTCACAAAGATTACATGAATACCTAGAAGACATGAAGCAAACAAAGTTCAATGAAAGCAATAGAAGAAAGAATTTGAAAGAGAATAAGCATATTAGAAGAAAAGGTGATAAATCTTACCCAAAGAATAAACTCCTAGAAAATTAGAATAGACAAAACAGAAATCAATGGCTCCATAATGTTCCAGAAAATATTAGAACACAATCAAAAAAATTAAAAGAAAATGTAAGATATTTTGGTGTCAAAAGACAACTGATTTGAAAAACAAGTCAAGGAGGTAATTTAAGAATCAATAAACTACATGAAAACCATGACTTTTAAAAATCTGTACACTCTATTTCAAGAAATTATAAGTGAAAAGTGCCCAGATTTATTAAAACAAAAGGGCAATGTGTAAATAGAAAGAATTCACTGATCACTCCGAAAGAAACCCCAAAATGAAAAGTCCCAGAAATATCATAACCAAAATCCAAATATCCAACATCAAAGAAAAAAAAATGTTGTAAGAATACAATATCAAGTACCAAGGGACTACAATCAAGACTACACAAGACCTGGAAGCTTTCACTAAAAACTAGAGGAGATCTTGGTGTACAATATTTTAAAAGACAAAAAAAAATAATAATAATGGCTTACTCTAAGAATAACTTACCTGCAAAACATTATATAATCTTGAGAGGATAGGGGGAAATATACCTTAACATACCTTAAATTGAATAGAAACCTTTTAAGCATTTCTACTAAAAAGACCATAAGTGTGGAGGAACTTTGAAATGCAAATACAAGAGTCAAGAGAAACATAAAAAAGTAAATTTATTTGATCAATTTGAAAAGGATATATGGTGATGTCTTGCTAACACTAACTCTACATCTTATACGATCAGACTAGTTGTACTTACTGAACTACTATCAGTGATCCTTGATAAGAAAGGTAGTATAGGACCGGAGAACAAATATCTAGATTTTCATAAAAGACAAAAGAATTGCACCCACAAGCTATAGGCCAATGGCTTTTATTTCAATTCCTAGTAAAATTCTAGAACATTTCCTTAAAGGAATGGTTATGGAAATATAGAAAAGGAATTGGGAATTACAGAGGTATAGTGTTGCTTCATCAAACGCAGGTCATACTATGCTAACATTTTTTTAACAGGGTTATCAAAATGGTAGAACTGAGAGACGCTGTGGCTATAGTTTACCTAAATTTACTAAAACATTTCATAAAGTTACTGTCACTGATCTTGTAGAAAAGATGTGAATTAGACAGTTCAATTTGGAATTAGTTAGATTTGGAACCTATTAAATGACCCAAAAAATAGTCTTTAATATGAAATGTCCATTTGGAAGGAGGTTTTCAGTGAAGTGTCCCAGGAGTCTGTGAAAGGCACTGTGATTTTTAATATGTTCTATCAGTGACTTAAATAAAGGCTTAAAAAGCATGCTTTCTAATTAATTCTAATTAATTTAAAAGAGGTAAGAGGAATAGCTAATATGCTGAATGGCTGAGTCAGTATTCCATAAGATTTGGACAGGTTGAAATGCTGGTCCCATTTGAATAAGATGACATTCAATGGGGGTAAATTTAAAGTGTTACAGCCCAATGGAAAGATAAAGGACTGACCCAAGAATCAGAATGACCTAGATTAAAGGCTTACTTCTGATACATAGTAGCCGTGTGATTATGGGATAGTCATTTAAACTCTGAGTGCCCCTACACAACTCTCTAAGACAGTAAGTTACAGAGGGCTAATATTGGTGGAGAGAATTTCCGGACAAGGAGTTTCCTACACTAATGAAATTACAGGCTGGGGAAGAAAAACCAAATTAAACTACAATCTGAATTCAAAGAAAAATCAAGTTTTATTTTACTATGTTATGGAAATGCTTGTTTCATTTCATAAATTAAAAGTAAATAATTATTAAAAAAAAAAGAATCAAGTCAATCAACACTTTCATAAGGCAACACCTCCAAGAGGCATAAAGGAAACATAAAGAACAGACTTTAACTAATTAGTCATTGAAATTGAAGGATAAACAGAATTATCATTCCTGAGCTCGCTCATTGTTTTCCACTGGTACTGATTATAATAACAAGATCTGACATTTAACTTGCAATTTACATATATAAATTTTATTTGATCCTTCTGCCTTGTGTAAGGCAGAGAGTATAGATATTATTACCTCCATCTTATGGATGAGGAAACTGAGGCTTAGAGAAATGAAGTGACTTGGCCAAAATCATATTGCCAATAAGGACAGAGAGGGGATTTAAACCCAAGTCCTCTGTGCCCACTTTTCTCTAGACCACTGCTGCCTCTTTCTTATCTTTAAGAAACATAAATAATGCTATTTCCTTTTCCACGAAAAGAGATCCTTAGAGGAAATATAATCCTTCTGTCATTAAAAGTAAGTCATTTCCTTCAATACTCTTTTGATGTCATTAACACCAAACAATAATAGGAATTTCCTCAAGCACAAAACCAAATGTACTCATAGGCATGCACACAATCTAGACACAGAAAGAGGAATTGTTCCCCCAAGAGTATCTATTGGTCTTTCCTGACTCTACATGTTCTCAATGACTAAATGACTACCTAAGAAATAGAGCCTTGTGGTGCCAGTGACTACTTACAGGAGAGACAGACAGACAGACAGACAGAGACAGGGAGAGAGAGAGAGAAGAAAGAGACAGAGACATAAAGACAAAGAGAGACAGAGATAGAGGGACAGGGACAGAGATAGAAAGACAGAGACAGAGACAGACAAAGAGACAAAGAGACAGAGAAAGAAAGACAGAGGCAGAGACAGACAGAGAAAGACAGAGACAGAGACAAGGACAAACAGAGAGACAGACTGAAAGAGAAAGAGAGAGAGAGAGAGAGAGAGAGAGAGAGAGAGAGAGAGAGAGAGAGAGAGAGGATACCATCAATGTTGTACAGGATAGGGAAGAGGAAATTGAATCATTTTAAGTCCTGTTATTTTGAAACTTTTCACTCAGTGTGCTTCTGTTTTAGAGAAAACAGTTGAACACTGGCCTGACATTTCCAGACCCACCCACCCTCACTCACTCAAAAGATTTTACTTTCTTTAGTCTTGAAGTACTGCAATTGGGCTATCCTCCATCTCTGGAGAACATTGGAGGAAAAGGGTTTTCTACACTTTTCTTCTCCTGGCAGACAGATAACCTAAAGAAATGGGTAAGTCTGAATAACTTCGGGGAAAAGCATTTTATATCATCAGCTTCTTGGCAAAAGAGATAGGTCAAAAGGTCATCCTACAAGTGCAGGGTACTTCAATGGAGCAAAATGGAAAATTAAGCAATACAGGAAATTCTTATTGGAAAGATCTAAATAGCATCAATGAAGCATGTTAGTTCTATAGAAATAATGCATTTCCAATAATGAAAGCATCATTACCTGGGCTCTGATCCTGACTTTTTCACTTCTTGCCTGTGTGAACTTAGACAACATGTTTCACCCCCCTATGCCTTAATTTCCAGATCTGTAAAACGAGACAGACTACATCTCTGGAACTCTCAAATCTGTTCCACCTCCAAATCCATGATCCTATGATCCTATTGTTATGACGAGGCAGAATAACACAATGGAATAAGTACTGGACTTGGAGTTAAAGGGCCTAGGTTCAAATCCAGCTTTTGCTACTTATTATAAATGTATTAGGGGCTTGGACTTGTTGTTTACTTGTTCAGTCCTGTCTAACTCTTCATGACCCCACAGACCACTCTGTCTATGAGTCTTTCTTAGAAAAGATACTGGAATGGTTTGCCATTTCCTTTTCCAGTGGATTAAGACAAATAGAGGTTGAGTGACTTATTCCTGGCCACACAGCTAGTGAGCATCTGAGGCTGCATTTGAACTCGTCTCTTTCTGACTCCAGGCCCAATACTCTATCCCTTGAACCACCTAGTTACCTCCAATATATGATTCTATGATTATTATATGTTAACTCCTCTTACTACTGCTCACAGCATTGCTAACTGCTTTTGCAGGTGGGATTATGTCTTTTATATTGAGAAATCCATTGGAAGAACTTGGCTATACCTAGAAAGGGCTGGGAATATCATAGATTGATAGATCTACAGTTGGAAGGAATCTCAGAGACAAATAAAATGTCTTTTTGTGCAGAGAGTATAGTATTTCCTGATGAGACCTCACCCAGTGCCTAAAACTTTGGCAGAACTTTGCACGGAGCCTTGCTCCTACCAGTGCCAGAGAATTAATGACAGTCTCTAAAAAGGCTGAAAAGTTTCTCTTGAGCTCTTAAAGGAAGCCTTCCAACACTGTCTAAGAGATATTTGTCCTCTCTCAGATAGTGTTTTAAAGCAAGCAGCCTGCTCCAGTAGATAGATTACAATAAGCAGCTGAGGTCTGAGGAGTCCCCAGGACTGGAGGTGTGTGAATATTTTGTAACGTCAGGAACTGAGATCCTCTGACTGGTGAAATAATCTAGGAGAGTCACTATATGCTGCCAATAAACTAAGGTGCTGACTATGTCAAACCCACATGTTTGCTGACCACAGGATTACCAATGTTGCAAATTCTCCTTAGACTTTTGTTCCAATCGTTGTGATGCTGAGGTCTCTGGAAACCATGCTGCAGAGTTTGCAAGACAGCAAGTGGCCTGACAGCTCACACTGTCTGAGCTTCAGACATAGGAAAAGGACATTGAAGTGCTGTCAGATATCCTGAAGGGGGCCCACATATAACAATAATTATGGTAACTGGTAGATCTGAGGGGAAGGAAGGAAGGAAGGAAGGAAGGAAGGAAGGAAGAAAGAAAAAGAAAGAAAGAAAGAAAGAAAGAAAGAAAGAAAGAAAGAAAGAAA